CCTCCTATGCCTTCTTTATCCTACTTTTGGAACTGCAAGTCTATCCTTCAACAGTGCTAGTGCAGACTTCAAGTGGAAAAAATACAACCAGATGCACTACAACTGACAACCTCTCACCACAACTCCTGCAGAGCTACAAGTTCAAAAGCTCTACTTGGACCTCAACAAGCGCTTAGCACCAGGGTACTTCCTTGAGGTTTGTCCAAATAAGGACTTTGTCACCCTATGCTTCCATGTAGGGCCAGCCTAAAGGACATTGCCTGCAAGATCATCAACTACTAGTAGGAGTATTCCCACTGCCACAGCTTCTACTACCAGCTCCCCAGTGGCACCTCTGAGCTCTGATTCTACTTCAAGTATTAACACTATGGGTGCTGGTGGGTCTATGGATGGATAGATTGATACCTAGGATTGTACAATGAAAATGGTACATTAGATATCAGGTCTGAGCAAATCTATAAGGCATCAGTGAGTTACATAAACAAGTCATCTTGTTAAACTGATGCATTGCTCTCAATTGACACCTTTGACCTGTTGAGTATGACTAGCTGATATTGGGCTTGGTTGACATAGGTTAGCTTGGTACGTTGGAGCCAGCTGAAAATGGACTTCCACTCTACTCAGCTACCTTCACGGGTGCCCCTAAGGGACAGTGGTGAGGGGAAATTCTCCCATTGGGCAGAATTTTGAACAGTACACTTGACCATCTCCTTTGTGTGGATGTATTAATATACCTAGACTTTTGGGCAGTCTTGGTTGGTCAAGAGCATGGAAGGAACAAATTTGAAAGATCAGAGACAAAGATGTGGAGGGACTTATGGGAATGAGCACAAAGTATGTGATGCTTTCTCGCTCACATTAATGTCCAGCAGAGATCATCCACTGTAAAGAATGCTCTCAATCTGGAAGAACAGGACCATTCATCCTATGGTTATCAGCCTGCCTCTCTCTACTACCACTCTACTGCTTGCTCAGAGGACCCATGAATGGTATGTTCATGACGGATAAAATGCAAGCTCTTCTCCTACTACAGCTGATATAGCCACTGCCATGGCTGAATGCCTCACCTGCCAGGAGCAGAGAGCAATGCTGAGAACTCTTCTACCCCGGAGAGGGCAGCAATTTATCCTTCCAGAAATTGCCACCTACTTTTGATAGTTTATGTTTGCTTTTACTGCCTGCAGTGTTTCTGTCAATAGCTGTTTTAATGACCTCCTGTTCACCTGTTTGGTGACAGGGGGATTCCCACCCTATGGTTATGGGGAAGGCTGAACTCAGAACACCCAACCCTGGATAGATGAAAGAGACAGAAGATTGTTAATCATATCTACTCACAGCCTGGAGGAAGAGGACATTGCATGTCATACAGGCCACATAGTAGTTTCAGTCAGGAACAGAGTAAACAACCAGGGACTAGGGAAGGCAGGCTTTGTAGTTTCAAGAGGATAGGGGGCTTGACCCCTGGTTCCTGCTGGAGGATGTGACCAGCTGGTTTGAATAATCCCGTGGGCTGGCAGAGAACTGAAACCTGCTACTGAGAAACAAGCAGCAACTGTGCCTGGTTTCCTTGACCAGGACGGTTGTTTGGCTAGGGGAACTTATCGGTGGAAACACAGTAAGGGGAGGAGCTTGTTGTTAGGCCATTTGAGGCCCTCCTGGTTTCAGATGTCAAGTCAGCACATATTATCGGTCCTAATTGTAGGACTTCCACAACACCTCCAGCAGCGGAGGTTTTACAAAATGCCTGCTATCCCAACACAGGCTTTCTCATAACTTCCCCTCAGAATACAAGGCAAAAGAGGTTCAGTAATGGGCCATGAATATGAGATTTGGTAATATTTTCATGTCATCTGGAAGCAACCAAGGTGCTTTCTTAGGTATATCTGTGGGATTGGGATTCTGTTCTCCAGGATGCATTGTGCATCCAATCCATCTAATTCAATGGTCACCATTGTCCCCATTAGCTAGAATGTCCCCAAGAGCTAGAATACACAGGCCTAGGAGCAAAGAGGTTGAAATAAGATGGACCTTTTTGACAATTACTCCCAGAAACCAACTTGAGGAATGTTTGTTTCCTTTACCTAAAACCCGTGGCTCTGCTGGATTAGAAGCCTGGGTTCTAGTGGCAAAGGTGATGCTTCCACCAAGCGACACAGTAAGGTTTCCACAGAATATGAAACTACGACTACCTCCTAGTCTTTTGGGGCTCCTCGTGTTGTTAGCCCAACAATCAGAGAAGGGAATTAATACTGTGGTGGGAGAAATTGACCCTGCTTACTATCTGGAGGTAAGGTGCTGCTACACAATGGAGAGAGGGAGAGGTGTTTCTGAAAGTAAGAGGATTCTAGGGCACCTCTTGGTGCTTTCATGTCTGGTAATAATGTAAATGGAAAATTGTAGTAAGCAGAGCTTGACAAAAAGCAGAACAACTAAGGTTTCAGATCCTCAGGGATAAAGTCTGGTTCATTTCATCAGGCAAGCAACCCAGACCGGTTTAAGTGCTGCCTAAGGGTGAGTAAAACCTAGAATGGGTAGTGGAGTGAGATCACTATTCCTTCTGGCTTCAGATCCAGTTGCAGCAGGGGGTGTTGCAGGGTGGTCTGCAGCCTCCTAAACTAACCTGTGTCTTAGGTCTTTAATAGAGAATGTGGCCAGCCACCACTTTGAAGACTGGCCAGTGGATCTGGCTTAATGTGCAGCATGAGCAGATCTGAGTAGTACAAAGAGTGGAGTGCACATCACATCCCCTGAGCACAACTCTGCTTCCACAGAACTCAGCAATTCTGTGCAAGCTCACACTTACCTCACGCTGTCTGCTCTAGAGCTTCTCTGACACTATGAAAACCTGCTCATTCCACACACACATGTAGCTTGGAAGTGCAGGGTTAATGTCCCCAGGGGTAATCATCAGTCACTAGGGAATAGGAGCCTGTCAATAATTGCTCCTACCTCTTGTCCTTTGGGTGTACAATTCTAGGAGGTATTATATATGCCTTTCAGATGGTCCCAGTGAAATTGAGCCCCCAATACTACAATAGCTACCTTGTTAACAGAACCCTTATACTGATTATTCTTTTCTTGATCCCTCACCCCTGCCACCTGGGAGCATCTCCCAGATAAACTATCTGCACACAAGTTCTTGTCTCAGGCTCTGCTTTCAGGAAATCCCAGTTAAACATGAGAATGTATTCTGAATACACATACACATACACACACACACACAAAGGCTATTTCAAAAAGTTTGTAGAAAAAAAATCAAATTAAAAGATAATTGAATTCTTCCATGTATTTTTTGAAGACCCCTTGTATATAATATAAAACCCCAATAAATATAAATGTATAATATATAATATATGTATATATATATTTAAAAATATGATAAAACCCCAGGCTAGGGAAATAAAGAGAAATATGGAAACTCCAAGTATATTCTTCTTATGCATTCATTCGATCTCCTGTGTTTGCATTCATTTTTAAAGTGCTTAAACTTATCAGCTAACATTCATCTTTATCAAGCAAGAATTAACAGAGAAACACTAGCTCTGAGTGACTGCAAATTTAGCTGAAGTGGACATTACATGCAAATACAGTGCTTCACTGAGGGCCTGCGCTATTTGGGAGGACATGGCTTCACCCAGAACATATTTAGTAGAACCTGTCAGGTGATGCAACTCTCAGAGCTGTTGTGGACTTCTAAACTGCTTTTTTCAGCCCCTCCAGACTCCAGACCCCTAAGCCCGCTAAGCTAAGCTATGAACTGCTAGCAAAGATTCAAAATCACTACACTACTCTAGGAGAGTTAATGCACCTCAAAGTCCTTAATTTTCTCCTAAGGAGTCATGTACTTGTTGGTAGGAAACAGATGACTAAGCAATCATTATCAACGCCCCCAGGATAATTCCAGCACAGGGAAGCAAATAAGCCTCTGAGGATATATGCTACAAAGCTTACTTGCTGTGAAATGAAAGGCGCAAGCAGTATTTTACTGAATGTTGCAGGATAAATCATGACATCACGGTTCACTCTGTTGTTAAAGTGTCATGTTTCCCCTGAACATGATAGGATTTCTTTTCTGAATTTCATGGTAAATATTTCACATTTATATGTCTTAAGTAACAGATTCCAATGCAGTTATTTGCCTTGGCACACCATTATATTTGTGTTTCTACACATTAGCAAAAATATTGTCCCTATTAAACTATAATTACAAACACCTTGTAATTGTAAAAAAAAAAAAAAAAAGAGTGCTTCCACCTTAATTAAAATACAAATCAATATATCATTTGACATACATTTATTGAATGTGCCCTATAGAGAAGGTGTTGTTCTAGACACAATGAAGTATAGAAAAAGTATGGGAGGGGAGGGAGAAGGAGGGGGGAGAAGAGGAATTGGCAAAGAGACATGAAAATCAACTACATTGTATATTGATAAATTAAAAAATAAAATTGAAAAGGAGAAAGTATGAAGTATGCGTACAGGACAAGATTCCTATCTTCTCACGTCTTGGAAAACTATCATTTTATTCATACTTTAAGAATTAAATATGTTTACAGAAAAGAACCAATTAACAAAGCTTAAGAATTCCAATTGCCAGTCAAAAATCATATTATGAAAATAGAACATTTCTAGAAATCATTATTTAACTTTTAGAGTCTTAGACTCTTACTCTTTTCAAAATAGAAATTTAAGTATGTTGCCTTCACAGGGAATTTAATGTAGTAAGATTTTCATTCAAATGAAATCATTGCTATTTACAGTTTTAATAGAATTATGCATGAAAGCAAATTCTAACTTCTAAAAAAATGCTTTTTTATTTAAACATTTTCTAGAAGCCATGAATTCAGGACTCTATAGCACTGAGAGTGATATCAGATTCTTGATCTATTCTTGTGGTACCATTTGGACATTTTCTTGAACAAAGTCCTGAAACAAAGTGAAGCAGCATATGTTAGTAGAGCTTAGGTCTAGGTGCTGCCACATTAGTGGATGGTGTGGTGTCACTCCTCCAGAAGGCCCTGGCCCTCTTGAGGCAGATGTCGTATTTTTTGTTTGTATTCAGTTCAGCATTGCTCTTCTGGCTGGGGGACACCAAATGGAGAAAGCTCTAAAAACGGAAATGCAGAGGAAATATAGAAAGTAGTAGGCATAAGCCAACAGTTATAGACCTAAGGCTTATTCAACTGTAATTTTCTCTAAAATATACAGAGTTTAGGTTTTGGAGGTTGGGAAGTGTTTGCACCGATGAATTTCACAATGTCAAGCATCAACTTTAGCCTTCCATTCAAGGAGCAGAAAAGGAGAAAAATCCTTTATTGTAATAACAATCTCTTCACAGTTTCACGGGCTTCAAGCCTGTGGGCCTGCCACCCACCATTCTCTTTATATGGTTAAAGAGCACCCCACACATAAGGCTCTTTCTACATCTCTGGCTCAAAAGCAGGGACACTTCATTTATGATCTCTGGGTGAAATCTCTATGCCATATGTTATAGGTGTTTAAAAAACTACATGGAGTTTGTGGTGTGAAGCACTACTACAATGTACTTAGGATCCTGATTTTCAAAAACAATATTTTGTGGGTTTCAGATGTGCTGATTACTTTCTCTGTAGTTAAGAACAAAGTATGAATCTGGGGGTGAGGGGACATCAGTGTATTGCAAATGATCCAAAGAGGTTTTTTTTGAGGCTCAAGGACTTGAAAAAGAAAAGCAACCTGTTCTGTCAACCTTGAGGGTTGGGGGGAAGATGAGGAATGAGGAAAGAAGAGGTGAATTCAATTTAGATAATCAGTCTATTTTCAAGTTTGGATGTAACAGGGCACAGAATGAGCTCCTTAGCAAGGAGATTCTTAGGGGAGTTGACAGAATGAGTTGCAGATTTCCCATGAACCCACTGAAATTGTATCCACAATGTTGTGAGTGTGAAGAAATATTAACTTTTCTAGAAAGGAGATCCATAAGTTTTGTGAGATTTTCTAAGGATCCATGACCCCCCAAAAGGTAAAACAAAACAAAACCAACCAAATGGATAAAACCCCATTACATTAGCAAAAATGTGCTTGCTTTTGCAAAAGAATTGAAGTTGTCTTCTCATGAATGCTCGAAATGCAATGGTCCCATTGCCAGCATCAGGACACTACTGCCCAGTCAGGATCCTGAAGAGCTTTGCAGTGTTTCTTTATTGCTTAGTTCATAATGGGAGAGAACTGAAACTAAATTAATTTCTTAAGACCCTGTTAGGTAAAATAAAAGACTGGTGTGTTGTAAAATTGAAATTGAAAATTCTAGCCTTTGATTTTTGCTATTATGGCAAGTAAATTCCTTTGGGAGAGCTGGTTTCCAAGTGCATTGATTTCCCTGCACTTGATAACAGAGTGTTCCAAACATGTGCTGACAGCCCATCTCCTTTGTCTCCTAAAAGAGCTTTGTTATTTGAAGGTCACTTCCTGCATTTTTTGATCACCTCATTTTATAATTTATTTAAACAAGTCCAAAATTAAATAATCGCAGTTGGTCTTTCTCTTCCTGAAAAAAGAATTGTGAAATGAAATGCCTCTTTGAGATCACATGAATTCACTTAGACTTGTACTTTTTACACACTGAGATAACCATTTCCTTAAAAACATGTTGCTAGTAGTGTCAAAACATAAACAACATGTATATAAAATGGTATAAGAAATTAAATACAGCTAATTGAATTCTTAGCTAGGAAGAAAGTGCTAGGAAAAAATCTTGCCTAAGGAGGTGGTCAAAATTACTGATCTCCATGGTTTTGACAAATGACATCCTTCTAATCTGAAAAGGCATTCCTGTGTCCTCTTGCTGGTGCGAAAATAGTTGGATATTGAGTCAGATCCTGGGCACAACTGTGACATCCAGCTCAGTGGACCGGGAACAAGTATTTAGTGTCTGTAAAGCCTGACCCTGAGGTTCATTTTGCCAACTCAGTAGGCAGGTGAGAACTTTTGCAAGGGTCTTTTGAGTTCCCTCTCACTGTAAGGTTCTGAGAGCTCTTCATCACTGATGGTTACTTGTACTCAAAATAGAAGTGCAAAAGAAATCAAGGGAAAGTACCGAAATGAGCATATTTGTGAGTAATATAATATTTTCTGTCACCTATGCACTTACATACTTTCTATTGAAATGTCACCCAAGAGTCTTATTTATTCCTCCATACATTAGCTTTATTATATCAAGAATAAATCAAAGCATAAAATGCTATGTGAACAACCCTGAGATTGCAGTGCTTAATTACAGAGCTTCTGCCCCAGTTTAAATAATACCTTTTATCCAGAGTTTTCAAAATGACTTCCAAACATTTGAAATTAAATTGAACTTCCCGTATTTCTTATGACAATGGTCTTCAAAGTGTGGTACCCAGATCAGCAGCAGCATCATCACTTGGAACTTACAAATGCAAACTCTGGAGCCCCTCTTCAAAACTACTGGATCAGGAACTCTAGGGATGGGGCCTAGCAGTCTGTCTAAAGAAGCCTTCCAGGTGATTCTGATGCTCGTGCCAGTTTGAGATCTGGCCTACGAGAACAGAGTACAGAGGAGTTGAATATTGGAACGTTCAATGGTCGGAGGTAGAAATAAAGTCATGGCCTGTTCATTTCTCTTCACTGTTTTCACTGTTGTGTTAGTTTTCTTCCATGCCATTGCTTTACAAATGAACCAAGGGCTATGACTTGCATCAAAATCTGACAGTTCACCCTTGGATCTACAGAAATTCCTTTCTATGAAAACAAGGCCAAAGTCAAGGCCATAATTATTTAACTCAGGGAAAAGGTTCAAAATGGTAAATTCATTGAGCAGCTCCTAAAACCGTAAGTGGTGAAAATGCTGCTATTAGGTTCCAGCCATGAAGTAATGGGGCACATAGATTAGGTCCTGAATTAAGGGGATCAAGTATCTTCTTAGCCTGGTTCTTTCTAAGGCACCTGTTAAGATCAGGCCTAAGTGAGGAAATCTGTCAGCTCATCTCTAGTAATTAAACCAAGTGGTTAGAGTTTATATCAAATTTGAAAGTCATCATGATATTCAAAATTCTGAAAATACTTACCTGTTTTGGTAATGGGTTCAGAAGATTACAATTAAATTTATACAGTTTTAAAATAATACGTATTTAAATCTCTAAAAGAGCAAACCACCTGAAAGAAAAATATAAAATTGTTACTTGGTTGTAAAAGATGCATAAATAGCTACTGACAGAGAATACCTAAAAAGTATACATATTTCAGAGCAAGTATGCTCTTCTTTACAGTATAATCTTTTATTATTTAGGGATAGAGTAAGAAATTACTCTTTTCTTTCTTAATAACACCTACTCCATAGGGTAGTTGGAATGATTAAATTGCTTTAAAATTGATATAAAATGCTTAGCCAGTGTAAGTACCCAATAAATGAAAGCCCCAGATCTCTCTCCTAAGTTTTAGATCTGTGCTTTTAAATAGTGTAGGCACTAGCTACTTGTAGCTATTTAAATTTAAATAAATTAAAATTAAACAAAATGAAAAATTTCAGTTCCTCAGCTGTACTGGCCATATTTCAAGTGCTCAATAGCCATATGTGGCTGCTGGCTACCATAATGGACAGTGCATATTTAGAACATTTCCACCATCATCACAGCTCTCTTGGGCAGTCCTGCCTGGGCCTAGACCCCATCGTCCACTGCAAATTACTGCCTGATGTTCTACAGGTACCTCAAATTCTCCAGACCTCCAAACCTGCTCTTCTGTTTCTCAAGAGTTCCCAAGCTTTCTGATCATACACTCCTGATAATAAAATATTTAAGCATACCCCATAATATATTGATATACATTTATTTTAAATTATATACACATACTACTGTACTCGTGAATTGTCTACTTCCTAAGACACATACGAATAGAAACTAAAAAACTGATAAAAGTGTAAATGGAGTTCTTCTATTTTTCCTTTCATCCTTTTGGGTTGTTTTGAGCTCTCTGCAAGGTAGGCAAATTCTTTTAGGAGTCATAGCCCATAAAAAAATACCATTAGTCCAACAGGCCAGAGAACTGGAAGTCGTCATACACTCAGTCTTCTCCATCACCCTCCATATCCAATTAGGCAACGAGTCCTTTTGTTGATCTCCTAAACAATTCCCCACTCCCTCTCCTCATCCCCTTATGTCCAGTCCTTCCACTACTCCCTCAGTAAAGTTATTCATCATTTATTTCCTAGATTATTGAATCAGTTCAGATTTCATATTGGTCTCTTCACTTCCAATTTTAGTTCTCTCCACTCTATCCTTCACTATACCAATGGAGTGAGCTTTGTAAAACATAAATCATCACTGTCCCTCATTATTTCACACACACACACACACACACACACACACACACACACACACACACACACACACACTATTTCAATGCTTCCCATTTCCTTCCAAACACTATAGCAGAATACAGCCAGCCCTTAAAGATCTGCTTCTACCTATCTCTGCAGCCACTTCTTCCTCAGAATTCCCACTTGATACCCATGCTCTTGCCACACTGTATTACCTGATATTCCCTGAATGATGATGCCCTCTGTTGCAAGCACCATCCCTGTCTGAGACTCAATCTCTTCTGTGAGCATTCCCAGATCACTTGCCTCTGGGCTGAGACATCCTTCCTCTCCACTTCGATGGCTCCTGTTCTCATCTCAGCCATAACTCTACAGTAATGGATTGGGATTGCTTATTAGCTATCTTTCTCCTAGAAGAGGAAGTGCTGGGCCTTAGCACAGTGCATAGCACACTACTGGTGCCTAATACTGTTAACTGAATAAATGAACAGATGATGAAAAGTGATGGAAGGTAATAAAGCAGATTTAGTTTCCTGCCCCTTCCATCCTTCTCTATTACTGTGGCACTTTACATATTCCTCAACTAATGTCTTTACCCCACAATCCTACTATATCCTACTGTATTACAGTTGGTCATTTGCATGTCTGTCTCCCCTTATAAACTACAGTCTTCACAAAAGTAGGAACCATGTCTCATTCATCTTTGAACCCTCAATGTTTGTTAATTGAATGACTGACTGAATGAATGAATGAATGAATATGATTGATTAATATTCATAGCAGATATATTATTTTCTCCACTGGTGTTCTTTAAACATTTGGACGATATTTTATTTCAGATGAAATCTGGAATGCACCAGGTGTTGTTATAACCCGCTTGGATACCATATCAATTTTTCAGGAATATTTATGATGCAAATTTAATCTTACTTACTTGGAAATGCTAAAGATAATTTATTCCAAAAGAGTATCAGTGTCTGTGAAATAGGATATGCCCAATATTTACTGATTCAGAAAAAGAAATTTTACTAATTTGTGTGCAGATTCAGAATTTCTCACCACTAAGTGTTTGTCAAACTTCTAACATATTGGAACTTCCACTCCTGGCCATAATAAAGTAACAAAAGAAGGTGTTATCTTCCTGCCTTAAATAATTCAAAAACTGGGCAAATTGACAGTGTAGGACAAAAATCCCCAAGACAAAGGAAAGAAATGAGGTGAGCCCTGTGATTGCCCCAACTTACCGTCTATGGCAGTTTCCAGGACACAGTGCAAGGAGGGGAAAACCTACACAGATCTGAGAGTATTACTAAATTAAGGAGACAGAGATCAAAGTTCAGGCACACTAAAGAGACTATAATTTGTAGGGAAGAATATCAGAGAGGAGGGAGTTTCACAGAGATGAGAGAGAGAGAGAGAGAGAGAGAGAGAGAAAGAGAGAGAGAGAGAGAGAACCCCAAAATACAGAGTAGATGTGGGTCTCCTTGAGTATTTGACAGAATACTGCTTTCTGCATGTATGAGAGGAAACTACTGAGGTTGGAGAACAACAATAAAAAGAGAGTCAAAGAGAATAAGTTGAATAGGGCCCAGAGCTCACACAAGGCATAGGAGTTTGTGCTCCCACAGTGTTTAAAGATCTTGTAGCACATGGATCATTGGGCAGAGTCCTTAAAAGGGTATTGCCTTACTAGTGGGATTATATTATTTTATGTTAAGTGCCACGCTGAATTTACCTTAACAAAGCTTAAAAACAAGTTTTGAAAACATTTCCTTCTAAGCAACTAACTATATGCCATAATAAAGTCTAAAACTAAAAGAATTTAATAAAATCCAGCATCCATAACACTTAAAATTCACATCCTGCATCTATTCCAAAATTACTAAGCCTAGAAAAATTGTGAAAATATAACCCGTAAACAAGAGAAAAATCATTTAAAAGAAACAGGCCTGGAATGACAGATATTGGCAAAAGGTAATTAAATACACTCCACATGTTCGAAAAGTAGAAGAAAACAGCATAACAAGGAGAGAAATGGAAGTTATAACAAATATCCAAACTGAACTTGTAGAAATGAAAAATACACTTTAACTGAAAAAATGTCAGATAGGGTTAATAGAAGATAAGATACTGCAAAAAAAAGAAAAAAAAGAAAAAATCATAGAACTTAACATATCAATGGAAAATATTTAAATGAAGTACATAGAATAAAAGGAGCATAAAAAGAAATAAACAGAGTATCAGTGACCTATAAAATAATATAAAGCAATATAACATACATGTAATTATAGATACAAATGGATAGGCAGGACAAATTTTTAACAAATAATAGCTGAAACATTTTCAAATTTTTTGAAACTATAATTTACAGATCCAAGAAGGTCAATGAACCCCAAGCAGAAGAAACATAAAGGAAACCACACCAAGACAGATCATAATAAAATTACTAAAAACCAGTGATAAATTTTTTTAAAAAGGATTGAGAGAAAAAAGACAATAAATGAAGACCAATAAAAGTAAAAGTCAACACAGACTTTTCATCAGAAACTGTGCAAGCCAGAAGACAATAGACCAATATGTTTAAAGTGTTGAAAGAAAACAATAAACTGTCAAGGAATAAAGAAAAGGATCTAATATTGTTTTTTTTTTTTTATAATGCACCAACTCTAGTGTGAGAGAGACCAGACTTGATGTTTTAGAAATAAATATTTAATTTCCTCCTTAAGGATTTAGATTATACCATGTATGGGGGGAAAAAAGATTGTCCTTGGGAGAGGTATGAGAGAGAGAAAGAGAGAGAGAGAGAGACGCTGAAATGACAGTCGACCATTTAGTAGAGAATTTGAAGAATTAACATTTGCACAGATCTTAAGGACACATGTGCCTGTGCCCGTCATGGACTGTTCTGAGGAACTTAAGTCCCAAGAACAACCATGGTCAGTCCTACTGAAAGCCCCCCAGTGTTATTCTATACTCAGACTTTCAGAAATGTGCTGATAGAGGATGGGAAATGGATCCTGGAGTGAATTCAACTTCTCAGGGGAGGGATGAGGTTAAAAGGACCTGCTGCTCTCTGATTATTTTGCAAAAGGGATAAGCACATTGCTATGAAAAGGAGTATAAGGTTAGAAATAGGGTACTGTCTGTGAAGTGCTCAACTTTACTTTTCTCCTGGACTATTAAAAAGAAATGTTTCATGTACAATTTTAATATTTCCCTACCTATACTGTAATTTTTTAAACCTCAACGATTCAGTCAGATCTGATGCGCTTACACTATCTTGTGTGATAGTGCAGTGGAAAACAATCAGATATAAAATGGGAAAAAGCATGAATAGCCTCACTTTCACCCCTCTGCTGGAGATGGTATGAAAAAAGCAGCACCCATCCTTAGTGAGGTGTGTGGTAGCACATGGAGGAGCTGGGAGCGCAGCAAAGTTAGCAGAACACCAAGAATCAGATTCTGAATGGATAACGAGGGTGTGAACGTAATACACTTGTCTTTCCTTCCCTTTCCCCTTGGAAAGGAGCGACTTTTATAAGAAAAGTGAACTGACACTTAGATTATACACTAGGAGTTCTTACAATAAAATGAGATATTCATTCATTTGATATTTATTGTCTTCATGCACCTTATACTCTTCTAAGTCACCCCAGTAAACAACAACACTCATGCTCTTAAATCCTAGTAGACTGCATACTAAATAAGTAAGACAAGATAAGGGGAAAAGGAGTGACGGAGGTGTAGGCTAAAATATTTTAGATAAGGAAGGCCTTTCTGATGAGGTGACATTTTTTCAGACACTGGAATAAGGTAAGAGATTGAGCCATGTGAATAT